TATAGATCCTGGTGGGGAGGCCACAGAGGTATAAAGCTACTCTCATTACACTTACCAGGAGCACATGCTGCCAGCATGACTTGCCCTTGTTGATGACCTTGGTCACCTGGCCAGAGGATGTTGGCCAGGCTTCTCCACTGCGGAGGTACTTCTTTCCCTTTTCGTACTGTAGTCTTTGTAAGGAAGTCACTACACTCAGCCCAGCCTTCAAGAATGGGAGGTATGCTTTATCAAGCATGAAGGGGGATATGTGCGTACATTAATCGGAATTCTGTGCAGATGTGTCCCTGCCTGTTTATAGCAGTATGGAACCATGGGTATTTATTGTACCCTGTGTGTCCTAATTCAGTGCTACAGTGTTTATTTTGTTGCTCAGAATGTTCCATTTGTTTGGCCATTGGGAGCTCTTCCTGCTGGGCTCCTCTGTCCTTTGACACATTACCCCAGGCTGATCATCTTGCGTACTTCCTGCCCTAGTCTTAGAATGAGCCATTTCTCCAAGAAGCCCTGGTCCCTTTTATTGGAGAATAAATAGAAAAACCAAGATCTGGGCACTGAGTGGGTTGTTCTGTTTTGCTGGCTGCTTCCTAATGAGATAATATTGACAGCAAGCTTTGCAGCAGAAAACCCAACCCTGCAGCTGCTCTGAGAACAAATCATGTTCATTGTCAGTAGTTTATTAGGTTTGTGTTCTGGCTTGGAAAAGTCAATGTCATTAGGCTCTGCAAATATTTGAGGAACACAGCATGTCATGGTCAACTGGGAGGGCATGTTCCGAGCCCAGACCACTGTGGATGAACTCCTTCGATGGCACTTTTCCTAAAATATCTTTGTTAGGTTAACTTCTTAGGTAAAATTTCTCATTTTCTGAAGTAGACTGGTTAAATTTGTTGGGATCATTATGCTAGAGCCCAGTACCTTTCTTAGGGGAAGTGAGCCTGCAGCTGGGTATTGCAGCCTTTAGCCAACACCATACCTGCTGCTAAGTGACATGTATTCCTTTCCGGGCAGTGCAGGAACCTGCCTGAAGGTGATGAGCACTTTCATACTGGAAACATGGCAAAGGCAAAGGGTTGAATTCAGAGACTTCAGGGAGAAAAAGAAAGGAGGCTTCCCTACATGCTGTCTTCCTTCCCTTTTAAGTTACCTGTTGCTCGAGCACCAGAGCAGACTTGACAGGTTCAGTTCTGCTGTTCTAGAAGACCCACTGTAGGCTCTAGGTGTGTGTGGCTGGAAACCCTGAAGAAGCATCTCAGTGGCATGGGAATTTAAGGGATGCATAGCACAGAGAGATACCAGATGGAGAATGGAGTGGTTTAGTGGTGCCAAATTAAGTCCTACCATAGAGGTTTATGAATGGAGTATCGAGGCACCCTTCTGGGGGCTCTAGTAGCAAACCATGAAACCATAAGGTTCTGTTTTCAAAGGACCAGAAATGTTGTCACCCGCCTGGGTTACTTGATGTTTCTGTAAATGTCTCAGTGACTTGGATGTGCTCAACTCTCCTTCTGTCCTCAAATTAGCCTCCCCCTGCAAAGGTTACTGATCATCTCCTCCAAGGCAATGAAAAACCTTCAGAGGAACACTATGCATGCAGAGAAGCCAGAGGGAGCAATCACTTGGCTTTGCCCCATTCTCTCGGAGATGCAGTTACCTCACCCCCATTTTCCTTCTCTGTTATAACTTAAAAGCCACTTTACAGTGATGTTGCAAAGCACAAAGAGATTGCAACATGAGGCATTATTTCACATTCAGATAATCACTGGGTACAAAATAAATACAGCATGTCAGTGGTTCTCCTGGAAGCCTGTTTATAGCAGAATATGGCCTAGGTATCTCACCCCAGACATTGAGAAAACACAGAATGGCTTGCCCACCATAGACGCTAAGATACAAATCAAGTCCAGGCTTGGGGCAGTGCCCACTCTCTTAATTCCTTACAGTCTTGCTGCTATGGAAAACATCTGGCAGGAGGGATAACGCATCTATTTGTCAAGGAGATGAATTGCATCCCAACACCATGCTCAACGTCCTTTGGAAGCTGTAGTATGAAATTGCCACCATACCAGGGCTGTAGGCATGAGTCATCTCACAGCATTTCGGGCTGGCAGCTTTACAGAGGGAAAAGATGATAAGACCACTCCAGGCCACTAGGTAATAAGGTCTCTGAGCTCCGAGTAGCTAGATCTAAGGAGGTATTTTCCCTTCATGTCAAAAATGGGGTATGAGTACCAGCACCAGCCACTAAGGATTCAATGATGGTATGTCTGTCATTTTTGAAAACCACTGGGATATTCTTCCCCGATGCTTAAAAATGCATGATAGGATAAAAGCTCCCTTGCATTTGTAAAGTGAAACATTTATAATAGATCCTCTGAGGTATTTGAAAAAATATTTCAACATGCATCAGAAATAGGACCAGCTTAATTCCATGGAGCTTAAGTTACCTACAGCCTAAAGGATGTTATATTCTAAAATGTCAGTGTTCTGTTGCTACACAACTGCAATTCATTTTATAATGTATTCACCTCCATTTTAGAGAAAAATCACTTGCAATTTTAAGAAAGGGAGAGAAATATTTGATGGAACTGGCATGTTTGTGACATTCTTCTCCAAGATCATATTGTTAAATTTTTTAATACAGGTTTTTTAAATCAATTATACACACAAAGTTTAAAGTCAGTTCTCTAAGGATTGTTGCCAAAAAGAGCCATTCTCCCAACCTGCCCTCTCCCCTTTTTCTACTGCCAAAATCACCCCCCACCACATCAGCTCTTTTGATGGATTCTGACTCTGATGATAGACTGATTCTGATTTTTATGATAGACTCTGATAACTGAGGCCTGGTTCCCTTCCTTTCTTAAAAAACTTCAGTTTTTCCTGGACTTAATCACTGTTTTAATTACAGTTTTTCTTAGTTTCCTGTTCACTTACCATTAATTATTCCCACATTTTCCCTTCACTGCGGAAATCCCCCTTCATGTGTTCAAACATGTTTTAGTATCTTATTCCGACCAGTTCTAGTGTGGTCAGCTGATCTGTGGGCCTGTCTCCCCCTCCTGGGGTCTCCCCTTAACCCCATCGCAGGGATTCCCATGCTTTGTTCTCCCGATGAATCCTGTATCTTTCTTTTTCTTCATCTGTGACTCCCTTGCTCTGGCAGAGAATACCCCTAATGGCTTCTTGAAAAAGTGTGCGTGGGAGGAAAAGTTTTTGAGGCCTCGAACATCTAAAGATGTCCTTCTGCTAAATTGATTGACAGTTTGGTTTTGAGGTGTAGGAAAGAAGTCATTTGCCCTCCTAACTTACTGCTGTGCCCTCTCTCAGTGCCAGCTTTCCCACTTTCTGAAGCTAGAAGCTCTTGGAATTTTGTTTCTGCCCCCGGCGTAGTCCAGGGCCCTGCCTGGCGGGTCCTTTTTTATCCTTGATGCTACGTCCACACAATGGATCCTTTCGGTCTTAAGATTCTGCCTTCCAGCTATTGGATTTGCAGTGTTCTCTCTTTCTGGAGCTCCTATTACTTGAATGTTGGACCTCCTATTCTGGTCCTTTACTGATGTTTTTTAAACCCATTCTTGTGCACATCCCATATCTTTGTCTTTCTGCTACATCTTTGTTGTAGAGTCCCTCCACTTACTCTCATTGAGTGAACTTTGCATTTCTTGATTTCACGTTTTAATTCCCAGAAATACTTTCTTTTTCTCTAAGTGTATTTTTAAGTGATGTTTCCATTCAGTTCTTACTTCATGGATATTCTCCATCACTCTGAGAATACCAGGGAGAAGCTCACTTGCTCTCCACTGTCTCTGTTTCCTCCAGGTTTTTTTCTCTTTGTTTTAGCCTCTTTGTCTTAAAGGCCTTCCTCAGAGTGCGGGGATCCCTGGCTGTCTCCTCACTTCTGTAGCAGGGGCACTGGAAGCAATGGCAGCCATTTACATGCACTTGGGGCTTTTCCTCTCTGTGGGCCTCACTGATGGCCGGTCTGGTGGGGCTGCCTCTCTGAAAGCCCTCCATTTCTGGAACTTTAGGTCCTCTTTCCTGAGCTGGTCAGATTCTTCAGACACAGTCTGGGTCTCCCACCTCAGGGGGAACTCAGGCCATGACCTTTGCCATGTTATCCTTCCCTAACTGCCCCTGCTCCCTATTTTCTGTGCAGTAACCCTGTCCTTGACTCTGTATGTTTTACTTTAGGCAGAAGCTGCGCTCTGGCACCCTGCCAAGTTAGGGAGGCACTGTCACCAGCTGTTGCAAGGAGAACAGTGGACTAGCTGCTTGCTAACTAGACGTTCCACCAGCCTGGTTCTGGCCCTGCCTTCACACACATGCCACCCGTCCCCAGTCCCTCCCCACCCCAGGTCAGGAAGGGCCTGTCACCACTTTTCCTGATCTGTGGGGAAGGGAGAGATGGGAGGCAGCTCCAGTTCCCCCTGTAAGGTTAAGATTCCCTTTTGCTGGGTCTGTTACATCAGTTTTCCACTTGCCCTTCTGCTTTCCAAAGTTACAAATTTTTTGCCTGTTGTCTCTTACTCTTAACTAAACCTTGAGAAGTTTCTAGGCCTGTAATGAATCTAAGTATTACTATTTCCTTTTTCGTTAGGTGTGCTGACTCATTGTGGTTCTGCATTCATTCAGATGCTTTCAGGTCACTTTTTATTATTTGTTTAAGCTGTAAAAATTGCATGAATAAATATGCTCATTTTGGACTGTGCTGTTTAGACTATAATTAAGCCTTCCACAAGAACATACTGGTCTCCCTCATGGCCCAGTTACCCACTCAGATCTGTGCCAATCTGCCCTGTTGCTGGGGTCCCTTTGGGGCAGATGGGGCAAATGGCCAGAGGCCTGGTTTGGAACTATCCAGTAGGTGGAAAGTTCAAGAAAGCAGGTCGGTGGCAAATTGGGGACCAGTGTGCTTGAGGACATCTTTGTCACGCCTGACTTACTTGTTTCATCTGTGTGTGCCTTTTCCAAACCTTGCTGACTGCCTTTTTTACGCGCAGCTCTGTTTTGTGATGTTCTGGACACCCAACGTTTCCGAGAAGATTTTGATAGACATCATCGGGGTGGACTTCGCCTTTGCAGAGCTCTGTGTTGTCCCTTTGCGCATCTTCTCCTTCTTCCCGGTCCCAGGTAAAGAGAAACAGAGAAGGAAAGAAAAATTCCTACTTATACTCCTGCCTAATTCTGTCTTCTTTCTTTGGAGATGTTTGCAGTCATGTCCCAAACAAAAATGTAAAATCTCAGTGGGTGGGGAAGGTACTAAGACATTATCCAGTAGGTGGAAAGTTCAAGAAATGAATCAAACAAGCATAATTGTTTCTTAAAGGACAGCACTTCCAAACCTCAGGAAAAAGAAAGTGGCCATGAAGGGACAGCATGAGAGATTTGGGGGCAGCAGCACTCTTCTGTCTCCTAACTGGTGGTTGGTACACAAATCTGTGCATGTATTACAATTCTTAGAACTGTATACTCAAAAGTCAATTTTATGGAACATTTAAAAGTATGATGAAGAGAAGAAAGGAAGTAGACTGCTAAGATCTGGACATGTGCAAGGAAAGAGGATGCATCTAGGGGCAGAAATGAGGCCAGGTGGCATATGGCCAGAATGAAAAAGGCCCAAAGCCAAAATATAAGCCCGTTTGAAAGTTCTCAAGCTGATTCAGTAGTTGGAAGTGTACTACATACAGGAATGAGGTAGTTCTGTATGAAATGAGAAAAGCAGGCTGCAGAAGGGGTCGTTAGTACACTACCTTTTATGTAACCAGTGTGTCACATGTATACATGTGTCTGCAGGTATGTTTGCGGTAAGTGCTTTCATGTCTACACACTGTTTCTAGAAGTAATTCACCAAATTGGTAACAGTGATTACCTCTGGGAGGCAGGGCAAAGACCTGTAAGTCAGGACTGGGAGGAAACCTTTGTACTATATTAGTCCCTTTAGTACCTTTTAAAGTCTGTACCAAGTGCATGTCATTACCTATTCAAAATGTATTGCCAAAACACCCACCTAAATTATTCAGGTGAGAAGCCAAAGCCACAATTAGATTAAGGAATGGACTATGGGGCCACTTGAGTCCAGGACCGATGGCACACTTGATAGCCCTGTGCTGTCCCTGAATCAGGCCACAAGCAGCCCCTGCTATTACATGCCGAGCATCCCTGGAGGCTAGGTGTCTCCTTCCTGGCTTTGGGGAGCCAACTTTGAAAAGGTGACCCCACCTAGAGGAGGCTTCCCCCCTGGAGATTAAGGCACATGTTTCCCCGGCTCCACTGGAGGAGGGGCTGGAGGTCCCAGAGGACTCCAGGTGGGCACGGAGTGGGGACTCATCTTTAATCTCCTCCCCACTCCACTTTCCCGCCTGTGGGATTAAAGGCTCCTGACAGCCAGCCATCAGGCCCCATCTGGTTTTGCAACCTGCTGGGTTTGGGCCAACCAGATCAGCATTCCACCTGAGCACCCTCACCTCCTTTGGCCAAACCCGAGTGTGCATCTGTGCCTCATAAATATAATGCTTCCACCCTGGGGCAGGCAGGGCATGGTTAGACCAAGGAGACAGCATGTTCTTCCTCCAAATGCACCCTGGTCCCAAGCATTTACCCTGGGAGTGTGCACATCCTCCCCTCCGAAGGCCTTTGCCTGGTACCTCCCCACCCAGGATAAAGGACAAGGCCTTACACATCCTGAAACCCTTTCCAGTTGCAGAGCAGACCTGAACAGGGTGCTGCTTGCTGTAAGGGTGCCCATGCCCTGCAAAACCAGAGTCAGTAACTCACAGGTCTGGATGGGGAGACAGGTGCAGGGAGCATGCCGGGAGTGGGGGTGGGGGGTCCTGTCAAGTGCCCACATACCAAATGAGGGGGTGCTGCCGGCAAGGAAAGGGGAGATGACCGGCTCCAGCATCCAGGGCAGCGGGGAGGGAATGAGGGAGGGGCTGTGAGAGCTCCCCACCTGAAGTCCCCATGCACCCCAGGTTGTCACAGCTGGTCCAGCACCTCCTCACCCACAAACTCCATCACCCGCAAGTTGCCACTTTTCTCTGTGGTTTCTGGTCTAGAGAGCAGAGCTCAGAGCTCAAAGTGGCCCAGGGTGGACAGGGCTGCCCAGGAGCAGGCGGTCACAGTGGAGAAAGGAAGCTGTCTGGGCACTAAAGGCTTCTATGAGGCAGGAGGAGCCCGGCTGGAAGCCAGAGCAGGGATCAGGAGCCTGGGCCGGCAGATGAGGGGTTCAGCCCAGCCCAGGACGACAGCAGTAAGGCCTCGGTCCTCACCAGCCACCCCAGGACCTCACATGTGCAGCCCAGGTTTCAGGGTCTGGGGCTGCAGGACCAACTAGAGAAGCTGCCACTGCTGACGAGTCCTTTGCTCTCCCTCAGTCACTGTGAGGGCCCATCTCACTGGATGGCTGATGACGCTGAAGAAGACATTTGTCCTGGCCCCCAGCTCCGTGCTGCGGATCATCGTCCTCATCACCAGCCTCGTGGTCCTGCCCTACCTGGGGTACGTCCCGGGCACTGGGAGCAGTGGGCCCTGCTGCCACTCAGAGAGTCCTACAGAGGTTTACGTCTGCATTTTCGGGTGAAATCCCCAAGCTTATCTAGAATTAGAAATAGAGATGTCTTGCTTCTCTGCCCAGGTGGGCACTAGGCAGGAAACTGTTGAGATGCATTCTAGAAAATTCTGCTGGAGGCCAGGCCCAGGCACCATAACCGTTAGTGGCAGGTCCGGTAGGGTGGAAGACCAAAGGGAGGAAGGGCATCTCCCTTGGCCTCTGGAGTCTAGTCTTGTGGGGAAGGGACATTCAGGCCCCCCCATCTGGAAGCCGTGGTGTGCGGAGGGGACGTGCCACGTGGGCTCGCAGCTGAGGGGTCGAGGCAGCCAGTATGTGCCCCCCGAGGGCCCCCGAGTGGTGCAGCCCTCACCTGAATGCCTTACGTGCTCCTCTGGGCCCTCTGTCAGCTCCACTTTCCTGGGCTGCTGCTGGATTTGGACCCTATCTGTGCCATGGCATGGCTCTAATGGACAAATGCGTTTGGTTCTCATCTCAGGGTACATGGAGCCACCCTGGGTGTGGGCTCCCTCCTGGCGGGGTTTGTGGGTGAGTCCACCATGGTCGCCATAGCAGCCTGCTACGTCTACCAGAAACAGGTGAGCGGTGGCCCCACAACCATCCCCTGCGGTGCCTGCGGAGCCTCCTCCCAGGTGTAGGGAGACCCGAGCCGCTGGTTCCCTGAGGGTCCGCAGCAGAAGGCGGCCATGGTGACCCGACAGGCATCCCAGACCTCGGCTGGACCCACAGTGCTCACCAGCACACCAGGGCCCATCTGCGCCAGCAGCCCTCAGCCTGTCACTCAGCCCCAGTCAGGTGTAGTAACAAGGGGGGGTACCTTGTTTTGTAGGTTAGTCCTATGCCCTGCCTGTTTCAAAAGGCAGCCATACTTCTCCGGAGAGATAGCTGAAAGGATACAGGTCTACAAAAATGATGGTTTTGACCATGCAGGAAAATCTTGAAAAGATGATTCTCCTTGAACCCAATCCCTCCCCTCAGCCCTTGTGTTAAGGAGTGCCCAGTCTAGGAAGTATTGGGAGCCCAGATCTCCTCCCCTACTCTTCACTTCTACAAATCCTTTCCCGTCTTCACTTCCAGCTTCCACCCACAGGTCTTTCCCAATCAACACATATGGACACACACAGGAACACACACAGTATTTACATTCTCTAAACCTTTTAGCACATAATTCGCTTGCCCTGTGGGGTTGTCTAATTATTTAGTAGTCTATTTATTTCCTTTCTACAATTATGAATACTCAGGGAGCAGCCTCATCTGACCTTCTTCATTCAGCAGAGATGGGATGAGATAAGCCAGGGAACAGATAGAGGCAGAGAAGAGGAAGGATCCATGGGCATCTCTGGGTGCACCAGTGTGGGCTCCCCGGCCGTGGCAGCTAGCTGGTGGTGAGAGCTGCAACTGGTCCAGATTTGGACTTAACCACAGCCAGCGTTTTGCCTCGCAGATGCGATTCAGGAAAAGAGGGGCAAGGAAGTTATAATTATTGAGCATTTCAATTAAAGATGAGAATGGGGAGGGGATAAGAAGGTCCATGGATTGTGGGGCAGGGTCCTGGAGGGAGGGTCTGACGGCAGTGGGAGGTGAAGGATGGTGTCCTTGAAGTTGGCCCTTCCATGGTGCTAAAGGTGTCAGTGATGACAGGGTCTCCAGTGAGCCCACGAATGGTGCAGTAGCACTGGGGACCCTCCTTGATCCCCGAGAAGAGGTCAGGGCATCACAAGGCCATCTGCTGCAAGGTGGACAACATGGCAGTGCAGTCACCAGGAATTAGGACAGGCAATGAGTGGGGCAGAGGAGAATGGCAGCCAACCCGGGGCTGTTCCCAGCAGGAGGAATGCTCCAGGAGCAAGAAATCCAAGCTCATCCCAAGGAATAACGGTCTGCACGTGGCCATGAGGAGGAGGCTGGGGAGGGCAGCCACCATTGGAAAAGTTTCTGCAGAGCCAGGATTCAATCAGCTGACCGTGCATTCCCTGGGCACCCAGGAGGGGTGTCCGGGTAGGGAGGTGGGAGACAGGATCCCCCAAAGTGCACAGTACCAGACAGCCTGCACCCTGGGAACCCAACGGGAAGGAGTGTGCCGAACTGAGTGCAGCCTCACTGAGGCCATCCCATCCATAACTGAGATCTGGTCTGCAGTTGAGGGGCTCTGAGACCCTGGTGCTCCCTCCCTGACCGCGCTTTGCTAGGATGTGTCCCTGTCACCACCCCTTGCTGATGAGTCTTCTTTGGTCTAGAAAAAGAAAATGGAGAATGAGTCAGCTGCAGAGGGGGAGGATTCAGCGATGACAGACATGCCTCCAGCCGAGGAGGGGATGGACGTCGTGGAGATGCGAGAGGACGAATGAGCGCAGCACCGTGGAGGCAGTCCAGCCGACCCTTCACACCATCTCCTCTCCCATCGTGTTCTGTCCTTCGGTTTTGGCCTTGATTTAAAGGTTTCATGTCAACTCTCTGGCATACTGGGTATGCTCACACTGATGTGGGGACCTAAATGGTCTGTGCCATTGCTTTGTAAAAACAAAACAATTGGCTTCATGCCCTTGCTTCACAAAAACCCAAAAGACAGCTGCCTCATAGCCCAAGGTGTGTCCTCCTCCCTCGGACAATCTCTGCTCGGAACCAAAGGACCGCGGCTCTGCCATCCATCGCCCCTCCACGACCACGCCCAGCAGGCCACACTTCACCCTGTCCCTTTGCATCTCTCCTAAGAACCAAGGGTCACAACCGGGCTTTCTTTGATTGGTTGCCCAGTAACACAGCTGTACCCAGAGATGTAACCCTGGTGGCCTTCCACTATGGGGTCATAAACTGCTGCCCACGAGCAGAGGGTCAGCAGCAGGCTGCAGCCTGGAGTCCCCCAAAGTGCACAGTACCAGACAGCCTGCACCCTGGGAACCCAACGGGAAGGAGTGTGCCGAACTGAGTGCAGCCTCACTGAGGCCATCCCATCCATAACTGAGATCTGGTCTGCAGTTGAGGGGCTCTGAGACCCTGGTGCTCCCTCCCTGACCGCGCTTTGCTAGGATGTGTCCCTGTCACCACCCCTTGCTGATGAGTCTTCTTTGGTCTAGAAAAAGAAAATGGAGAATGAGTCAGCTGCAGAGGGGGAGGATTCAGCGATGACAGACATGCCTCCAGCCGAGGAGGGGATGGACGTCGTGGAGATGCGAGAGGAGGACGAATGAGCGCAGCACCGTGGAGGCAGTCCAGCCGACCCTTCACACCATCTCCTCTCCCATCGTGTTCTGTCCTTCGGTTTTGGCCTTGATTTAAAGGTTTCATGTCAACTCTCTGGCATACTGGGTATGCTCACACTGATGTGGGGACCTAAATGGTCTGTGCCATTGCTTTGTAAAAACAAAACAATTGGCTTCATGCCCTTGCTTCACAAAAACCCAAAAGACAGCTGCCTCATAGCCCAAGGTGTGTCCTCCTCCCTCGGACAATCTCTGCTCGGAACCAAAGGACCGCGGCTCTGCCATCCATCGCCCCTCCACGACCATGCCCAGCAGGCCACACTTCACCCTGTCCCTTTGCATCTCTCCTAAGAACCAAGGGTCACAACCGGGCTTTCTTTGATTGGTTGCCCAGTAACACAGCTGTACCCAGAGATGTAACCCTGGTGGCCTTCCACTATGGGGTCATAAACTGCTGCCCACGAGCAGAGGGTCAGCAGCAGGCTGCAGCCTGGAGTGACCGTTCCCACTGAGGACTGGATTTGCGAATGCGCTGGATGGACAGACGGAAATAATCTCCTGTAGGAAGGTTTGAGGTGCCACAGGAGTAGTGAATGATATCATTTCATCTTGTATTTTCCTAGGTTTGAGTGAACTCCATATACATACATGAACTAAATGTTTTAAGTTGTCACAAATGCGCATCTGCAAATTTCAGCGTCCACAGGCATGACTCCCTGAAGGCTTGTTTTTCACTCACCTTTCCTGAAGATGGCACTAGAGCAAGTGAAATGGAGCGTACTAACTTTACATTTTAGTTTTTAAAGTGAACTGAAGCTTTAAGTCATAATCTAGCATTTTAATGCCAGGTTGCTATATCATACCTTTTGAAATAGTTCATTACCTGGTTCTGCCATTCTTAGACATAACCACATGGTACAAGTGATTCAGAGTGTCCTTTGGTACTCCCCTCTCACGCCACACGATAAAGCAAGACATTTTATAAACGATAGCAAAGTCACTATGTGATATTCCCTGAAAAGACACATTTGAAATCCATTAGTGCAGTATATTTTTCTAAGTTTTGGAAAGCGGGTTTTTTCTTTAAAAAAAATTGTGGACACTGTTCACTAAATTCTTGATTTAGTCAAAATTCCTAGGCAGAAAGAACCTAAACACAAAAATATTTTAAAGATAAAAATATATACTGTATATGTTATGTAATTTATTTTAGGCTATAATACATTTCCTATTTTCGCATTTTCAATAAAATGTCTCTAATACAATACGGTGATTGTTTATGTGCTCAGCATACCTGCAGTTGAAACGTATTGTATCAACGAACATTGTGTCTTATTTGCAGCAGGTTTACAAATGTCATTTGTATATAAATGTAAGGATCAGTACATGACAAGAGAACTATTTTTCATTATGGGTAAGGGGTATAAATGAATCAGCTGGTGTAAACAGTGGGGATGGAAATACACACTGGAAGGGCAGAAAAGGAAAAGCCAAGCCTTTGTGTTTATTGTTTTCAGTGATGTCCGACCACATTGTTCCTCAAAGAAAAAAGAATGTGACAGCATAAGTCTGCCATGAACATCACAGGGCTGTATCCACATTTCTGGACACCCAGTGATCCTCAGGTGTGCCCACCGTGGAGACAATTCTCACGGGCTTCCTCTGAGCGGTTTCTCCTTCATATATAAGTGCTGTGCTGAAAATTAAGGTGCATAATTTTGGGGTGGTTTCCAAGGTAAGGTGGGGGAAAAAATCTCATTGTATCAGCTTTTTAAAAGCACCTGACTAGAAAATTAAACAGCAGTATTTTTTAACATGTGTGACTATTTCATGCTTGTGGAGTTGGAGCTTAAAGATTCATTCATTAAAAAGCCAATTATTTTCCTCTAAATCAGGGTAAAATCAACTGGACTCTTCATCATACAACTAAAACAGGTCATTGTAACAGACACCTTTGGCAATAGAGTCACAGGGCACAGTACTCTGTTAGAGGTTTCAGGGAATACAGGGAACATCGCCAGATCCAGACCATGCTGGCAGCACTGCAATTGGGATGTGCCCAAAATCTTTTGCCTTGATGCACACGGTTCCTCCATTCGACTGCTTACATCACAGCTGAACAGCTGCACACCTTAACTTCTAAAACAAAACGTCTTGCTAGCAGACCTTTCTGCCTCTGATCTCACCAGCACAGATGGGTGGGGTGGTTAAACCAGAGACGGGAGACACTTCTCCCCACTTTTCGGAGTAAGAGGGACACACCTTTGATTTTGCTGACCAAAGAAACATTTCCCCAACGCAGACTTTTTTATTGCAAGTGGCTCAGCTGACAGATTCATTCTGTAAGGCACTGAGCTTGTGAGAACCACACATCAAGGACTGTGGGAAGACCAGGTGTGGCTTTCGCAATGTTGAATGATTGCTTGCAGGCAAACAGAATCTAAATGTACAGGAGACTAAAGCCATTTTTAATTTGAATGCTGAGAATTGAGTTTGGGCTGCTCAGAGCTCTTTCTGTATTGAGGGTTGTTCGTGGCCTCTCTGCCTTAAAGAAGCATATGTGAGGTCATTCTAAACATGCAGCTGCCGTGACTCTGCCCCCAATAGGTGAGACCTTGGTGGGCACTGGTGTGACACCCGAGAATGGAGCAGAACCAGGCATGGCCACTCTGGGAGTCACAGGAGGGCAGAACCTGGCAAGCCCGCAGCTCAGGGTATGGCGAGAGGTTTACACATGGGCCAGAACCCCTCACCTGTTTGGGAATAATCTGGGCTTGGAAGGCCATTGGCTACATCCCTGGGTGAGAGCCAGGCACCCCTCACTGCCTGCCTTGGCTTGTCCAAGCTGGAGGCCGCCTCTGGCTATGTGTTTCGTACTTTAGCTCAGGCAGGTGGTTTGACTTTGGAAATCCACATGGATGGTCAATACCCTCAGAAATGGAAGCTTCTCACAGTGGTTTGTTATATACTACATGGGGCCAGGTAAAGCTTTGTACAGTAGTAAACGCACTTGACTTTTCACTCCCCATGTCCTCCCAGTACATTGGGAGGCACAGAGGGCAGGAGGCTCATGAGGAGGCAGCCCAGGGGCTCCACCGAAGACCAGCTCCAGGGGGCTGGACGTCCTCCAGACCCAACCAGGGCCCAGCTCCATGAGGATGAGCAGCATTTTCTGCATCTCTGTTGGGGGTTGGGATAGTCATTACATCCCCCCAAATCAGGAAGGGCATCTAATGATATCTTAGAGTAAAACTGAACAAAGTCACCAGCTCCCCACCCTCCTCATGGTTTGTTCTTTGGGGAGTCTTATGAGAAGGAAGGGGCAGAGGGAAAGTAACTCGTTTTGTACCTTTAGTTTCTAGAAACAACTATTTGAAGACAGTAGTTCTCTGAATGGATGCTCTCTTCTTACTTTAATTAAACTGAAAGAGAGGAAGAAGCTGTGTTGCAAAATAGGAGGTATTTCTATTGTTGTAATTAAACCTTAAGAAATATTTTCTTGTATTTAAAAATCTTTTAACTTCAGGAAATCTCTAAGTAAGCCAGTGCCCAGCACAGCATGTGCTGTGTGTAGAACCAGCCGTGGTTTCTGGCCTCTTACTTTGCGGGTAAGCTGACCTCAAAACTTAGGATGGAGTTTTCAACCAAAGCGATGCACGGTCCAGGAAAAGGGGTATTTAATGTTCTAAGTCCTGCCCTCTTTTTTTTCTTTCTCAGAACCAAAAGGGGCAGGGGGGGCGGGCAGGGCTTTATAAGGCTGGCGATTTCTAAGTGTTGAGCCATCTGCATTGCACATACAACCGACTCCCTAAAACCAGCCACTCCTGCCTGCCTTCTGTAGACGGCCACCCTGTGGCTCTTCCATAAAAAGCATTTGAACCATAGAAAAGCATGTTTTTGAGCAACGTGTTTGGTAAACATTCAAGATGCCCCTCTGTGCAGTTATTTTGAGTATTTCTGTCATTTGAAGCAGCAAAACATCACATGATTTATCAGCTGATCTAACCACACATGAAACAGGATGTAGAGAAAACCTGAAGGCAAACTACAAAAGACCCGGTTGCCTGCGCCTTTAAAGGCTAGCCGTCTAAAATTAGCTACACTAATGTTCAAAATGATAGGAGTTTTACTTTGTGACCAAAATAACCCAAACCCCACTCCGAAGTGAGAAAAGGTGTGACAAATTATACAGTTTACTGTCTGATCTCAAGAGGGAAGAATAATGAAGACAAGATGGTGAAATCTTGTTTTAAGTTGATTTCATTTTCAAGAGGTTAGAGGTCTCAGCTGTTGCAGTCTCTGCTAAGAGAAGCACCCAAAGGGGGCCTACGAAGTCATTTTTTTAAAGCTCATCTTTGCCAAGTCCAAGAGGTTCTAGAAGAATTTTTTTTTTCCTGCTTCACTTGTACTCAAGCAGGGTCTCTCAAAGGCTTGGTAAGATTACGCACTTTCACAGACGGCTGTCAGCTACATATGGACCCAGCATGTTTCTTATATGTTACCTCTTTTAAGTTGGGTTATGAAACTTAAATTGCACTTTACCAACAAGACTTGGCCTGGCTTCTCCAGTCTGTGTTGTAGACAAAGCGCACAAGAACTAGGCACCCCTTCTCTCTGCAGAAGCAGGAGTGGCTTCCTCATATTAGAGAAGGGGGCAGGTGGAGACCAACGGGCTGTGAATGGCTGTACCACTGTCTGGCGTCGTGGAGATTCAGGGACGTGGAGACCAGTCATTACTGTAAGGTGCAGAAGCAGATGTTCACCTATGAACCAGGGACAGGAAGTGGCCCCTTGGAGTTGGTGAGCATCATAGGCAGGTAGACTCCATCCCTCGAGCAGGGGGGACCTGCAGTTTGGATGAACCAGCCCGGCCGAATAAAGGAGGTACAGGGCACACAGCATCGCCAGTCTCCCAGCACAGACCGGTCACCACGAAGCAGGATCACTCTTCAGGGGTGCCGCGTCCATAAGCCCATGGGGGCAAAGACACAGCTTCTTGGACCTGTGACATATGCACTTTGCTTAGTGCTGTATTCAGGGGGCAAATACTAAAGCTGGAATGACCAAGGAGCTAGTTGTAAGGCTTCAGAAATCTTTGACAGAGCCCCACACAAGATCCTGTTCACTACAAACAAGCCTGTGCTCACCCATCCAAGGAGAGCTGTGTTGGAGGCCGTGGGCTCAGCACAACCTTCCAGTTCACTCTCCTCTGATCACATGAGGGAGTTTATCACTAAAGCTCCTTCCTGGGCCAACATTTTATGAATGATCTAGGAATTAGACCACACAGTACAGGATCCTATGATAGAAAGATAAAATTACCTCATTCCTCATTTCAGGTCTGAACATTAGCAGTGATCCAGAATTTTTATTTTAAACAAAATTAAGCTTACTGGGAGTCATTATTCCACATGCGCTGTGGCTTTTCAGTTTCACAACAAAACTGTGGGTTTAGTTTAAACTGCTGAAACTATCACATTAAAATATTTGTGCAGCCTTTGATTAAAATTGATTACAGAGGTCCACATAAAATATGTCACATTTAAACAAGTGCTGTGTATGTATTTAACAGATGTAAGTTTTTGCATTAAGACCATTTATATATGCTTTTGTTTTTTGGTGGGGGGTGGATTTATGCTCATATATTGTCAAATAGCCTTCATACTCTAAGTAAAGCTTCAACAGTTGGCATACAATTGAGATTGTTTTTAGTTTCTTGATTTTATTCTCACCATACACACCTCAAATGACATGATTTCCTAATTCTGACTAGGATTTTCCTTTTTGTCAAACATACATGAGATACTAACATTTCGCCCTTTGCTCTGGTAGCTAAAACCTCTAACCACTGGGGTATTTCTCTAAACTCCCAGTCTTATTTAAATATGACCCATTTCTTCAAATTTTATTCTATATGAAAATGAGTTTTTACTTCCCATAACTTTAGTAATACTGAAAGTGCTCCTCTGAAGCCTGACTTCTCTACCCACCTCTAGAATGGGGATCCCAAACTTAGGTGTTAGAAGAGTGAAAGGCGTAAACCTGAAAACCCCTCCTGCCCACATCTAAGAGATCCTTCTTATCAGTTTTTATATGAAAAGAATCATTCTTCTTTAAAACGTAATGTCTTAACCTCAAAGAATGATGGCTCTTCATTTTTAACTTCCCGTGAGAGAGGGTTTATTAAGTCCCTGTGATCCACAAAGGTGAAGCATTCTCTGGCAGCTTGAGACTGCACCTTATCTCCTGTCCTGCTTTATTAAGGTCTTGGAGTTAAAAATCCCAGACCTCAGCACTACCTCTGCCTCTTTTACATCCCTTTTACTGCTTGCTTCTTACTGGTTATGTTTCCATATGGTACCTGGGATGTGGCACGGTTTCCTGCCTAACTACAATGCAGGATATGGAGCTGTGCTGGCCAAGCACTGTTAATTTTCCCCATGGGGAGCAGAATGCCACAGGGAGCAAATCTGACCCCTCCCATGCCTGCTTTGACATCCCTGATGAATCACATTACCATCCACCCCATCACCTACTCCATGACACCCCCACCCACCAGTGGGGGCCCGCTAGCCCTGGTATCTCTCACTTCCAGCCCCCCTTCCAGCCTCTTTAATTCCACTGGCTTGGCTCAGATGCTCCTGGTCACCTAGGGTGTGGGTGCTACAGGAGCTTCCAAATGGTATTCCTTCTCCAGGCTCGTGTGTGCCCTGGACTACAATGTGAATGACACCTCCTAAGAGCTTTGCAGTGCACAATCATTCCCAGAAGCCTGCCCACCTCTTCCCACCCCACTCTAGCTCACACACTACAAAG